AATGTAAAACTCCTTATCTATTCACTTTTAAAAAACTAAATGAAGAAAATAAGATAAATTTTCATAAAAATAAAATTTATTCCAATAGTTTGAATTAAGTCGAGCAAACCAGTGTAAAGTAATCTTAACAAAAAATTGAGATAATTATAAAATTGAAATTCTTTTAGATAATGTATAACATCTACCTATGCTGTAATAAAGAAATGCAAAAAGTATATCAATGATGCCCTTACAAAACAAAACAAATAAAAATATAAAAAAAATAAAAAAAATTAAAAAAAAAATTGAAATTGGAATAAGTCGAGCAATTCGGTAAAAAACGAAATACACGTAATTGATACCAGTCTCAAAAAAAACATTGATAAAATTACAAATTGAAATTCTGTTAGATAACGTATAATATCTATCTATAAAATTGTAAAAACGAACAACAATTATGCCTGGGAGTAATGCTAAACGCTCGCCTTCTAAAACTGCTAATTTAACAAGATCAGAAAGTTCATTTTCAACATCGTTTTCGAGTTAAGTTTTAAGCGTATTACAGAATGCTCTGCGAATACATAATGTTTGTCGTACTTAGCAATTTGTACATCTTTAATCCAACAATGAAGTTTCCATTACAAGTACCGAAATGCCCTAATTTGTCACACGGCCAAGGACGTCAGTTGCACAACTAATGACAATGGATAATTGTTATTTTCATGTTATTGTCAACATTATGAACTAGAAAACTAATGTTTTGTACTCTAGAATTGAAATTATGAAATCCGACCATTATTATTGTACAACTGAAGCGAGGGAATTACATTTAATTAAGATGACCAATTTTGAAATGTCTTAAAACTTAACATAGAAATATGACGACTTAATAATGATTTCTCACATCTATGTGGAAATGCAGTTTTTTAAGCAATAGAATTATAATATATATTTGTAATGAATGAAAAAAAAAATTGCTGATATTATATAGAAGTATTAACATTAGTTTGTCCACTTTTCTCCATAATTTCAAGATCTTAACGAAAAATTGCATTTTTCTTTTAATTACCCTATGTTTCATAAAATATAAGACCAATGTTATTACCGATCTTCTAACAAAAAAACTGGTAGATGTAAGATTAAACCTTACAAAACAGTTGCCAAATGATCATGATAATTATAAATATTCATTAACATGTATTATTATTTTAAATTCATAGCGTTTAAACTTAATGGGTATTTTACTTTTAAATATTTAATATTAAACTATAGTACAGTTAGAAATTTATAAAAAAATCGATATCCATAACAAAACACACGATACAAAAAAGTTGGGGAACCTATGCTGGACTGGGTATTGGACTCTTTAATAAATCATTTTTGACCATAAAAAAATTAAAAATAGGAAATATCACTAATTACTTAATCAAGTCTAAGAAACTTGCTTATAATAAATTATAATATATTAAGAGCTAATATAGTATTTATATACACATTAATGTATTAAAAAAGAATTAATCCAAATTTTTTGCATGCAAATCTCAGTAGAAATATTACTATATATGCATTAGCTTCACATCGAATTTAAAATGTTTGATTCTGTATCATTTGTTTAACTTATTATCCGCAATATAAAAGGATAAAATGTAACTAATAGCATATCTAAAAAAAACTCACTTACCATAAAATTGGCTTCAGAAGTCCCATGTTCGATATCCGCTTCGGACAGCCTGATGTCAATCGGTAGGTATAGTAGCAATAAGTTGCGAGTAAAAATAGTCCACTCCTTGTATTACTGAAACAATGAGAAAAAAAACTGTATTAGAGTTAATCTAATAATTTATCAAATACAAATAGGACAACCTTTGGGTTACCATTAACAAAGCCAGATCATTAAGAAGTCCTAAGAAGCTTATAGAACAATTAAGTTCTGGTTAACGATAAATAAATAAATAAAAATTTAACAGAAATATTTTCAGTAATATTATTTAAAAACTGTTTGCTTCTTGCGAGAAAAGTTATAATTCAAATTGTTATATAAAGCAGTAGTGACATCAGCTTATACTAGAAAATATAGATAGCAAAATAAGCCTTTTCCAGCATTGCTGCATTAATAAAAAATCATCAGTATTAATAATAATTTCATTAAAATAGGTAGGACAACCGATGAGTTGCCATAAAGTCCCGTCCCTAAAAAGGCATTAAAATATCTCATGTTACTCGTTAAGTTTGGATTGCTGTTAGTAACTTTTTTTTTAAAAAAAAAAAAAAACATAATATAAAAATAATGAAACAATTATTATGTATAAATTTCGTAATACTATTTATCAAATGATCTTTTATGTGACAATAATGAAGCAATGAATTTGAACACAAAATCCAAAATGTTGAAGTGTTATTACGATGACACCTTTCATCGTCTCCTCGAGTCATTTACAAAATGTCAAGTTAATTAATTACTGAAATGAGAGTCAAATATCACACAAACTCATTCAGCAAACTACAATATCAAAAGTAGGGGAATTATTTTCTTTAATTTTTTGAGAGCTACTTAATTAAATAATTTTTAATATAAATTAATGCTAATAATTTTTATATTAAATAAATTAAAATTCCATATTTTATTATTTTATTTAGAATGTATTGGTTAGATATATAGGACTTGAATATTAGAGTCAGATTAATTTTTACATAAAATAAACAACATTGTACGACACTGTATGAATTGTTTTCATGCGGTGGATAAGGGCCGCATAAAAAGTCTTACTTAGAAAATACGCCAATTATTCATGAAACAGCTTTTATTAATTTATAAAATTTTTTAATTTAACCTGAAGGAACTGTAAAACTAATTTTAATGACGCGAATCGTGGATAAAACTCTGCATACAAAACGAATGTCGTTCACACGTCGAGCGACAATACCACTGTTTACGTAACTATATGATTCATATTTTTATAAAAACAAAATCGTACGAAACTGGTCATCATAAAAACAGAGTTTACTATATTCGAATTTATTAAATAAATAATTAAATATATATTATCTGAATGTTACGTACGATTTTGCAATAACAACTGCAGTCAACCCTCCGATGACGCAGTGAATACGTACCGTGTAATATATAATAATATTATTATTGAATTAATGAATGCTTATGATATGATAAAAAATTAAATAGAAGCGGAATTTTCCAACAAAAAATCAGGCAGATTGTTTGAGAAAAAAACTAACATTCAAGGAAAGAGCTCTGAAACTACTAAAACCGATGTCGCACACAGCTATCATGTAGCAGGCATGTTTTTACAAACATATTGAAACAGACAAAATATCTGATAACAGAACTAATATTTAAACCTTTTACATTAATACCAGTTACTAAAGTTAAATGAAAACTTCAATTTAAACTCCGCTTAATATGCGCGAAAACCGCGCTCCCAGAAGGTTGACTGTATTGATAAAACTCGACAAAAAAAATGTAATACTCACTCATTTATGTGTAAAACACATTCAATTATGACGGATCCAATAAGCACAAGTTCAATACCACTATCATAAAAACCTTCTGATTTCTCGTCGGCTCGTCGACCCGGTTGCGTTGGCGTCCGGGTCGACACGCCTTTGTTCTTGTCTCTGCAAAATGCAGGCATTAAATGAAGTCCGCATTTCAATCATTGCTGTAATATCAACAAGCATAGATCAACGATGCCGATATTGTGAAGATAAGAACTTCTAAACAAACCATTTGAAGTTGTATCACAAATTCGATATAGTTGATACTATCGCCTTCGGCTGGTGTATTTGATTTTAAATCCTATTCATATTTTTTTGAAACAGTTTGGCAATTGAGCAGACAGTAAACAAATAACGCTAATGATCGTTCAATGTTTTTATAAATGAATATCATGTAAATATCATAAAATTATTAATAACTAGCTATACCGAATTTGAAAAAAAAAGATTAAGGGTTTATTTTTATGTTAATTGCTATTTATTTTATATTAGCTTTTTTGAGATTTTTTTATATACAATATTTGTTGTGCAATTTATTTCATAGGCTAATACGACATTCTTGGCCTTTTTCGTGCTCTTAAAGAGTTTTGACTTTCTCCTAATCATGACTAATTCATGACTAATTGGTGTACCTAATGACTAATTGGTCCATGACTAATTGGTCCTAATCATGACTTTCATTGACTAATTGGTGTACATTCGATTTTGTTTGATTTGAAAGTTCATTGATATTTTTTTATTATTGATTATTTTTATTTCTCAAATGTTTAATTGCAGTCTGTGAAGTTTCACCAATTTGCCTTAATGCATGATACCATGTAACACTAGTTGCAATTAATGCGAGAGTTCTGGTACAGAATTCAGGAAACAAAAATTGAGAAATTGAGAAGTTGGTTAATATTTTATCCTAAAATACTTTATTCTGGGACAAGTTCACCACCTGTGTCAATAAATGTTGTTGAGTATCTTAGTTGTATGTTAGGGATGAATCTTTTATATTCTGAGAAACGATACAAACAAATCGAGATCTAGGACTCCATAAGTTGAATAAGATTAAATATGCATATATTCAACTATTATTAAAATGACAAACAAACAATAAGTCAAAACTATAAATAATATGAAGAATGTATCAAAATCATTACGTGTCGATCTATGAAAACAACAGCATGAAAAAAGTATTCACAATCTACTAACAAATTTTCTATCAAAAAGTAAAGAGTATCTGTTCGTATTTCGGGATCCAAGTTATAACACAATAAAAGAAATAATTTTTATCAAATTCAAAAACTTCATAGCTTGTTTAAAATGATAATTGAAATTAATTTTTTCTCACTTTATAGATTGTTCTAAATGGTAAGAATTATAGCAACTCCGGCTAGTTATATAAAAATTCTGAGGACCACACAATTCTGATCAACCCACAAAACATTCTATATTTGAACAGTTTTTGCAAATGCCTCATAATGAATACTTGTAAATAAAACCAAACGCTTCATTTTGTTTTACCAAATGAGTTCAGAAACAGCATCATCTGCATCTGAATTAGATTTATTGTTGTATTATCAATACACTGTAAAAATTTTTAAAAAAAGGAATAATATGATGCATTGTAAATAATTGTAAATATCCAGTCATGGCTCAGTCTCTGTTGTAGTGTTATCTGAAGAAATATTCTAATACAATTAAAATTACATATAAACCTAAATTAAAACTATCACAATTTTAATTACAACTCATCATGTACTACATGTGACATTAAAAATTCGTAGAGATCATCTAATGACCGTGATCCATTGTATTCGGATAATTTTTGCCCATCCTTGTACAAATATAGAGTAGGGAAACCGTCAACCTAAAATGTATATATTTAATATAGTAAGCACCTCTTAGTATATCATAGTAATATAATAGTAAATATAATTACAGCTTGAAGAGAACACAATTCCTTGTTGTCCTCTAAAGTGCAGTCAACTTTAGCTACGTTAATGTTAGTTGAACCGACAACCTTTTTAGCTAAGTCATCCCAAGTAGGTGCTAACCTTTTACAATGTCCACACCTAAATGAAAACATTAAATTATTCGTTAACATTTTGTATATTGAGGTAACCCCAGTATACAACGTATTAAATCTAACACAATACGAGTATTGAAGACATTCCTGCAGTGTATTTTTAAAGCATGATTTCACTGTAACGCGGATTGAATTAAGAAAAAACCTGATTACATGAGAAATAAAGTAGAATGTTTTAAAAGCAAACTTAATCTAATTTAAATTTAGATTAATCAATATAATAGTTCAATAAATGTGATAAAACTAGTAAAAAAGATATCTCATTTAATATTTTCCATTCAAGCATGTACATGCTTTATAAAAAAAAAAAGCCTAAGCTTACCCGAACGGTTAGGTCATACATGTATAAAAGTCTCTACACTAAAAGCAAGCAGCCAAAAATGGAAATTTTTTTTTTCAGAAAAAAATGAATCTGGGGGGTGAGAATATCTTGCCAAAAATAAAATACTTGAGATGCACCGCACTTGCTTCCTATGATTTATAAATTAATTGTAAGATGTAATTAATTAATTGTAAGATGATAAATAGGATGCAATTTTTTTAAATTTTTTAAAGATGACTCCTCTTCTTGTGATAGTCATTTGTTTTATATAACAAGAATTTGCATAACACACTAATCTTTTGGAAAGTAAGTAATTTGTAACACGGAGGTTATCTATATTTTCAGTTTTCTTTCAGAAGCATTCTATAAAGTATTATACACATTATAAATGTATAATGTATTTCTTATACCTGACCACTATGCTCATTAAAAATGATCATTCTGCTTTACAATTCCAGACGGAAAAACAAGTTTTGTAAAATTGATTATAAAATTACTTTTAAACTACGAACAATTTGACTAGTTTAAGCTCAAACAGTACTTTTTTAAAAGACTTAAAGCATCCACAGAAAGAGCTGTAAATAATAAAATAAAACTATGACAATGAAGATTCAATTACCATGGTGCAAAAAATTTGACGAAAGTCACACCCTTTGAAATGCCTTGTTCAAAGTTTGATCCCACAAGATTAAAGACACCTTCTTCTTCATTAGTGTCTGGAATGCGATTATCATCTCTATCTTCATCATCAATTTGTGAAGCACCATGTTTCTTCTCAACATAAGCCTTTAATTCTTCGTGATTCCTTTGTCCAGAGTATTTTTCCACCTAAAGAATAAAAACTGTATCAGTTGATAAAAGACAATTATAAAAAATTGATTTCATTTTTCTCCTCCAAGTGAATAAATAATTACATAACGAAGTGCAATAGTTAATTTCAAGGAACAAGTATAATATTAAAACAGCTTTAAATTTCAATTATAAATTATAATATAAATAATAATTATAATTATAATATATTATTATATTAATTAAATAATATTATATGTATTAATATATAAATAATATTATAATTATAAATATATAAATAGCCAATTAGTGTCCTGTTACTAACAGTACTCAGTACATATAAAACATTAGGCAAGAATAACTCATATCAAATGTTACTTTTAATAAGTCAATGTATTTTATTTAAAGTAAGTTTTACTATCAAACATACATACCTTTTTGCCATCCTCTATCCATAATAAGGTAGGATATCCTTTTACTTCAAATTGTGTGCAAATTGGGCGATGTTGAGTGCAGTCAATTTTAGCAATGCTTACAGAGTCTTCATGTTCAAAAGTACTCGCTAGTTTTTCCCAAACTGGGGCAAGACTCTAAAAAAAAAAATTCATTTTTGAAAGGTTTCAGTATTTAAAAAAAAAATCAAATGTAAAATGTTATCCTTAATTGAATTAGAAAAGTATTCCAATAAAAAGAACACTTTTGCATTCAGATCACAACCAAAGAGTATATATATTATATTTAAATATATAATAAATACATAAAATATATTTATATTTAATTTTACACAATTGTGTATATAATTGTTCTTTTATTTCACAAATTCTAACAATTACTTTACCTGGCAGTGACCACACCATGGTGCATAAAACTTCACAAAATGCTGCCCTTCTCTGACATGATCTGCAAACGTATCTTCTGTCAATTCGACTAGACCATTGACAGCATCAGGAATATGTGGAATCGATTCAACATCCTATATAAAAAAAGAGATTTAATTTCAGAACATTTAATTTCTTTGTGTAGTAATTTTTGAAATACATTTGTTACTTACCAAAGGTTCATTGGCACCGATTTGTTCATTAATAAAAGCTGTGAGAGTTGGTAAATCTCGAGTTCCTTTGAACTTCACAGGTTCTTCAGTGTCCAATTTGAAGAATAACAGGGTAGGGTAGCCTATAATAAATTAAATGCTTTAATTGAGTTTCTAGAGATATATATTAACATAACAATTATAGTAATTATCATAAATACAATAGTTTTGTGTTTAAAGTCAGATCTAATTATTAAAAAATTTGAATTTAAGATAAATTATTTATTCTAAAGTTTGTGTTTGAAAATGTAAACTATTGAACACAATATCAGTTGGAATTCAGAATGCTGAGTATGTTTATAAATCACGAGATAAAAATTGCAAAATGTTCTTGAAATGTGGATTTTTACCATAAGATTTTGAATCTCTAATTTTCAATTATTCTACATGTAATAACAAAGTTACAAATGAGTCATCTAATTAACAATAAAATCTTATTTAAGACAAAATATTTATACTAAAGTTTTCATTTGAAATTTGTAGTATTCGACACAAATCAGATATAATTTAGAATATAATCTATGTTTATAAAGTCATGAGATAAAAATTGCAGAAATTATGCAAATATGGATTTTTTAATAAGATTTTATATCTCTAATTATCAAAGGTTGGGTTTGTAATAACAAACTTACGAAAGAGTCAGAAGTGTTTAACAAAAATTTTTAATGTAAGACAAAAAAAATTAAAATTTGAATTTGAATATTTGTACTATTTGAAACAATAGATAGAATTCAGAACGCTATGTATGTTTATATATAAAGTTTTGGATCAAAAATTACAGAAATTCTCGAAATGCACATTTTTACAAAAATATTCTGCATCTCTAACTTTTACCTGTTGGGTACGCAATAAAAAAAGTCACATTTTTTAACCATTTTAAATATTCCGTTAATAGCACAATAAATGACACAATTAGTAACGTCATTCGGCGCTTAAATATTTCTGAAAAGAAAACGTTATGTACACAATCAACTAATAACGTATGCGGCTCATGTAATACAATTAAAACAAAGTAAATACGACCGTGTTGTTAATTAGTAAACAATAACATTATTTAGTACATTTAATATGGGCACTAATTAAACGATATTTTAACTTTTGTTAACATAATTTAAAAATCCTCAATGAAAATTACCCCCTGTAATTATTTAAATCAACTGTAGTTAAAAATTCGGTTTATAGTAAAAAATGAGAGCAAACGTTAATAAAAGAATATTTTAAAAACCAGTATCAGATTCTTCGTTGTATGAGATGTTGATAATTTTTTTTGTATTAAAATTGAAATTATGTTTAATTTTTACCTGTAACATCATGTTGAGAGCAAACTTCATTATCAGTCGTACAATCAACTTTGGCAATGGTGACTCTTGAATGCTCATCTGAATTTAACATCTCGGCTAACTGGTTCCATGTGGGCGCCAATTTTTGGCAGTAACCGCACCTATAAAATCGATATACATAAAATTAAAATTAATTAAGAATTTAGTAATTTACATGATAATTTATGTGACTAAACCATTGTTTTGTTAAAGTATACAGAACTAATTATTAAGTTAAGTTCTATTATATGTTTAGAACCGTGCAAGTTTTTATGTGAAAAGGTTGATAATTTTTTTTTTTACTGAACTGATTAGCATTCAGCCTGACTTATCGAGTTCCATCAATTGGTTATTAATTTTTATAACTGATGTAGCAACATTTCCACTTTTTTCATGATTGATTCAGAATGCAACTTGCAACTTCATCCTGGAAAAAACAACCTTCTCCGTAATTAAAACGAATATTGGCAATTTTTATCCAGTTGTCTCAATTTTTTCCTGACACGGAATGTAACCATTTTGAAACTATTATTTTCATATCCGAAGTTAATTACATTCAAGTACATGGTATGCTTTTTGTCGAGTCAATAATTTTAGTAATGTCATGCCCATGCACTATAATTTGAGTACCATGATATTATCCTACGTCTTGGTCCTAATTTATTTAAACCCACGATTCGTCAAACTAACCGGTTAGAAAATGAGGAAGCCCATTTTAAAAAGAAGTCTACATTAATAATGAATTGAAAACATAGATACTTCAACTTATGATAGATATTATTAAATCATGTGAAAGAAATCTATTTTTATGTGCAGTAATAAATGCAAATCGATGATTATATACACATATGCTAATTTAGCTAACTATCTTAAAGAAGAAAAATAAATATTTAATACATGTATAATAACAAATGTGTTTACAATTTCACGCTCATTGAATTTGTACACAACTTTTGTGATAAAATGCAGTATACAAACAAAATGTGTGCAATTTCAATTTACTGAGAAAGTTATTGCTTCCGATTAAAAGAATAATAAATAAAAAGTGCATGTGTGTGAAAATGTACACATTCATTATTTATAAGAAAGTGTGAGTATATATATATATATATATATATATATATATATATATATATATATATATATATTAGGGTGATCCTTAACAAGGACCTTTTCGAATTTCTTTGCTTCCAAGGGCGCCAATGCTTCCAAATGAATAAAAAATGAATTTCTAATAGTATTAGCTCTTAATATAAACATTAAATAACTTAAACTTAATATAAACAGCGCACGCTAATTGGAAGTTATCATGTATTTGTTATTAACATACGTCATTAAGTAAATTCTTGCGCCATCTGTATATTATTCTCGAACTCAAATATTATGACACATAAGAATATTTATGAACCACTTAACCTCTAATTAAATCCTATTCATCACGGAATCAAGATTAATTTTGCAGCAAAATATTTATTTAATTGGTAATGTTGAAACTCAAATTATTATCTTGATTCCATGATGAATAAATATTATAGAACAGCCCACATAGATTTAATTAGATATTAAGTGGTTCATAAATATTCTTATAAGTCATAATATTTGAGTTCGAGAATACCAAAATTGATCAAATGCAATAACAAAAAATAATATATAAATTGTAGGAGCAAAACTTCAGAATAAAAAATTAAAGAAACAAAATTACTGCCATAAAATTACAGCACACTTTTCGTGTATAAAAAACCGTGTATTTCAGATCTAGTTCTAGATAAAAATCATGTAACTTATGAAAATTTAAATTAATGTTCAAGCGTTAAAAATTTAAAAAATATAAAATATGTATGTATATATATAGAACATTATGAAGCTCCAAATATATTTCAACAGAAAAACACTATAAATATATTTTTGATTTACTTAAATATGCCAATGATTTTTATTTCAAAATGTAATAATAAGCAGAAATTGTATGATAAAAAATTAGTGTATTTTAAATTTTTATTTTATTCTGAATTGTTTTTTATTTTCTTTATCATGGGCGTTAAATAAATAAAAATGGCTGAAAATGTTAATAGCATAAAAAACACAGACAGGCTTCATACAAAAAATATTCAAACGCTTGATATAATGATGGTGCAAGTTTTGTCTGTTTAAGTAATTTATTAACCATTAGATAATGGTTAGTAAATACATAAATATAAGTATATATGTGTAAGCTTAAATAGATATACGTGTAGATAAGAAATGAATACGAGTATAATCCAAAGTTAACATAAAACAGCGTTACATATAAATTTTGATAAGAAACGCCCAGCATCCATCATGCCAGTGTAAAAAACTAGTGATAAAATGGAAGCATACACTAATAAAAAAAGTTTTATTTAGAATTAGTTGCAACTAATTAAATTTTTTCTAAAGAAAAACTGTATTACAATTAAAAAACTGAAAGGCTCTATAAGCTTTTGTGATAATAGTTGGCATACTAACTACGTGGCTTTTTAGAAGACCAACGGTCTACCAATATTCGACATATTTTCGTTATTAAAACTTCTCTAATGCTTATATTCTAACTTACTTTTATATGTCCTTTCAAATATCTTATTATTTTATGTTATTCTTTGTAATTAAATAATATTGTTATATTCTGAATTATGTAATTTTGTGTTATTAAGTGCATTATATATTATTCTATATATTGTAATTTATCCATATTATATGTATATTAATTGTATTTTTAAGTCTTATTCTGTGGGCTATATGTTTAAATTAAATAAATAAATAAAATGAATAATATACATATTTTAATTTGATGCAACGTTGTCGAGAAAGAGATATTTTCACTTAGAAACATATTTAAAAACCAAAGACGTTATTGCTTGATATCATACTGCCGAATCTAAAACCTTGGTTTGCAAGACCAAAGCTCTTATCACTGAGTAGAAATAATCGATAATACAATTTTCAATGCTATAGGCTTGTTAGTAAATATTGCATAAATATAATAACCGCATTATTTGCATAAGTGCTGTTTGCAATACGCGTATATGCATACAGAATCTTGTGACTAAAATTAACTCCGAACAAATATGATGATGTTTTTCAAATCAATTATTATTATGAAAGCATAGCTTGACGATTTGTCAAATATAAATAAAAATTCAACTACTTGAATAAGTAGCATTTTTTTAAATTGAGTTATGAAGAAACTACCAGGTCAATCTTTACTAAAAACTAATCAGCAGGATTCCCAACCGATATATTTCGAAAAAAAATTGCACTTGTCTGCTAATTATAAAAAAACGGTTGTGCAGATCGTGGTTCAATACGAGTCCTTATCGAATTTCTTCAATTGCTTTTACATTACGTAAAAATGTGCATCCGATTTTGAAAAATCTACTGCAACGCGTGTAGTAAATCTACTACAACGTGTGTAGTAAATCTACTACAACGAGTGTAAATCTACTACGAGTGTGAATCTACTACAATAAGTGTGCATTAAATCTACTACACTACAACGTTTGTAGTAAATGTACTACACTGAGTTTGTTTGTAAAAATCTACTGCAATGAACGTAGCGAACAAAAAACTATTAAAACAAGTGTAGCAAAAAATCTACTACATTGAGGGTAGAAAATCTACAACGAGTAAAGTAAAGGTACTACAACGAGTGTAGTAAATCTACTACATTGAGTTTGTTTGTAAAAATCTACTGCAATGAACGTGGCAAACAAAAAACTACTAAAACGAGTGTAGCAAAATCTACTACATTGAGGGTAGAAAATCTACAACGAGTAAAGTAAAGGTACTACAACGAGTGTAGTAAATGTACTACAACAAGTTTGTTTGTAAAATACTACTACTGCAATGAACGTAGCAAACAAAAAACTACTAAAACGAGTGTAGCAAGAAATCTACTACATTGAGGGTAGAAAATCTACAACGAGTAAAGTAAAGGTACTACAACGAGTGTAGTAAATGTACTACATTGAGTTTGTTTGTAAAAATCTACTGCAATGAACGTAGCAAACAAAAAACTAGTAAACGAGTGTAGCAAAAATCTACTACATTGAGGGTAGAAAATCTACAACGAGTAAAGTAAAGGTACTACAACGAGTGTAGTAAATGTACTACATTGAGTTTGTTTGTAAAAATCTACTGCATGAACGTAGCAAACAAAAAACTACTAAAACGAGTGTAGCAGAAATCTACTACATTGAGGGTAGAAAATCTACAAAGAGTAAAGTAAAGGTACTACAACGAGTGTAGTAAATGTACTACATTGAGTTTGTTTGTAAAAATCTACTGCAATGAACGTAGCAAACAAAAACTACTAAAACGAGTGTAGCAGAAATCTACTACATTGAGGGTAGAAAATCTACAAAGAGTAAGTAAAGGTACTACAACGAGTGTAGTATATGTACTACATTGAGTTGTTTTGTAAAAATCTACTGCAATGAGCGTAGAAAACAAAAGACTACCAAAACAAGTATAGAAAAAAATCTACTGCAATGTAGCAAACATACAACTACCTACTAAAACGAGTGTAGTAAAATCTACAATGAGGTAGAAAAACTGCAACGAGTGAAGTACTACAACGAATGTAGTAATCTACTACAATGAGTGTGTATTTGCAAAAAACTACTTGTAGTAAAAAAAACATGAGGTAATCACTACGATGAAGATAAAAAATCTACAATTAGAAAATCAGATTTTCTGGAGAAAAACCTCAAAGAATTAAAAAATATACAATGTAGTAATAAATATGTGCATATTTCTTCTTCAAGCTCTCGAATCTATTAAATGTGTCACAGTATACTAAAATAAATACCTCAACGTGTGTTTTACAACAAAGAATAGTAGCAATCAGAACAATCTAATTTTGTAAAATACAACAAAATTTTGATAATCAACTAAATTGTCCATTAATTTTATCCGGTTCCACTCGAAAACAAATGAAACATTCATACATTTTATATTTTATCAATTGTAAAAGTATTGAGTGTCGGTGAAGATTATTGACCTTTGAACTTTAAATTCTCTAGACTATTATATAAAAAAAATTTGGCAGTCGCTCATGTTTATTACAAAGCTAAATGCGTCGTCTTATCGTTTTGAAAGTCGTTAT